AGGTTCTCAGTTGGGCTCAGGATTCCACCTAAGGCCCCATATTCCACAGAGGCTTAACAAGAAGCCTATTTCCCTGGGCAAATACTAGTACCCTTGTAGCTAATCCAATAAATTATAGGCTGAAGATGGGATTACAAGTTTTCTGTGATCATATTTCCTAATATTCTTTTCTATACCATTTAAATGTCTATTTTACAATAGATATCAGGGAAACCAATATCTATAAGACAGTCAAGCACTTTAACGTTAATTCCCCTCCTTTACCTATTCTTACCATGTCTGAATCCCTGTACCACAGAGCTCTGTTGTTCAAAGTTTGTGCATACATCACTTTACCTCTATCCCATTTAGTTCACACATATCTCCCAAAGTCTACCCTTATCTTACCTGTTCATTTACCCCACCCCTTTCTTGTGTATTGCCCTCCTCCTCCTTGTATATTGCCCTCCCTATCACTTGAGCTATCATGTGTCTACTCTTAATCCGTGAATTACTGGCCTTTCCCTCCCACCCTTAGTAACAATCAAGGAATTTTCCTTTAAGATTGGATATTTTTTCTTAAGCTTCTACTTATGCAATATGTGTTCTTTTGTGACTGACTAATTTCACTTAGCATAATGGCCTCAAGGTTCAACCATGTTATGAGGTATTTTGCAGCTTCATCACTATTCTTTAAGGTAGCGTAGTATTTCATTGTGTGTACGGACCAAAGTTTGTTTAACCATTCTTCCATTGATGGGCACTTAGGCTGTCTCCATCTTTTTGCTATTGTGAATAGTGCTGTCATGAACATTGGTCTGCATATATCTACTCATGTTCTGTCTCATATTTCTTGTGGATATATATTAAGTAGAGGGATTGCTGGGTCATAAGGTATTTCCATTTCCAACTTTCTGAGGAAGCCCTTGGCGTTTTCCAGATTGGTTGAACCATTTTACGGTCCCACCAGCAAAGTATAAGGGTTCCAGTTTCTCCACACCCTTGCCAGCATTTGTTGTCCTCTGTTTTATTGAACTTCACTGTTAATGCTGGTGTGAGATGATATCTCATTGTTGTTTTGAATTTCATCTCTCTAATGGCTGGTGTGGCACTGTAGGTTAATGTACAGGACTGCAAAGTTGGTTTGAACTGCAAGGTTGGTGGTTTAAGCTCACCAGGTGCTCCTTGGAAACCCTATACAGGGTTGCTATGGGTTAGAACCCACTAGACAGCACTTGGCAACAACAACAATGGCTAATGATCATGAACATTTCTTCATGTTTGTTGGCTGCCCGAATGTCTTACTTGATGATGTAGCTATTCATGTCCTGTGCCCATTTTTTAATTGGATTGTCTTTTTCTTGTAAATGTATTGTGGTAGTGATGGTTATGTGCTGTGTAGTCAATTCCAACTCATAATGACCCTGTACAGGGTTTCCGAGGCTGTAAATCTTTACGGGATCAGAAAGCCTCATCTTTTTCTGGTGGAGCAGCTGGTAGTTTTGAACTGCTGGCCATGAGGTTAGCAGCCCAATTTGTAACCACTACACTACCAGAGTTTCCTATAAATTTTAAAGATTAGTCCCTTGTCTGTTATGTCTTTGCAAAAAAATGTTTTCACTGTCTGTAGACTCCCTTTTTACTCTTTTGGTGAAATCTTTTCATGTACATAAATTTCTCATTTTTAGTATATCCCCAGTCATCTATTTTGTCTTCTATTGTTTGTGATTTTTTTTTTTTTTGCAACGTTTGATAGTCTATGTATGACAAGTATTAGAGCCCTTAAGTTTTTTCCTATTTTTTCATTGATGTTTTTTATAGTTCTGGGGTTTACATTTAGGTCTTTAATTCATGTAGAGTTAGTTGTGTATATGGTGAGAATTTTGCAAGACCAATGACTTAT